TGTAAACTCCTGTGGAACATTTTGGTTGTTCATACACCTCTGGACTTGAGCCTTTTTCAAGAACCCGAGTGTTGCGTGCACATCCATTTTACAGATCAGAAATACTTTATGTGCAGATTGTTGGTTCCTTGTCTCTCAGGCAGGTCCACTATGACTTCAAAGGAAGCACCCAGTTAGTCAAAACTTACTTTTTAGGTAGGCAGTGGGTCTTTTCCTGTTTCTCCCAAATAGAGCCCCGGAATGCACACAGGGAGCTCTCCAAGTGTTTGTAAGCCTGACTGTATATCTCCACTGTCTTCTTGGTTTGCCATTCCCCACTTCATTTTCTTCAAGTCCATACCATGTGGCACTGGCAGTCATGTCTATCCACAACCTTCTGTCTTGTGTACATTCAATCAACTCTGACCCAGATGATCTTCCATAGTCCATGCCGTATGGCATTGGCAGTCATGTCTATCCACAACCTTCTATCTCTTTTACATTCAATCAACTCTGACCCAGATGATCTTCCATAGTCCATGCGGTGTGGCGTTGATAATCATGTTTATCCACAACCTTCTGATTAGTGTACTTTCAATCATCTCTGACATAGATGATTCTCCATGTCATGATGTCAAACTGTCCAGCACCTTCTTCTGCCTCTTCTCCCCTCCAACTTTTCTACTGTCAGGATGTACTCTAGTTTTCTCCTTCTCATTAAATAACCAAAGAATGTAGACTGTCTCTTTCTGATTTGGGCAATCAGTTCTGCTCGTGAGTCAGTTTTTTCAAGACATCCTCATTACTCTTTTTATCTTCCCACAGTATTCTCATCAGCGTCTATAAAACCACATCTCCACAGCTTTAAAATAAGTTTTCACTAACCTACCAACTGTCCATGGTTCATTTCCATATATCAAGATAGGATTTGTATAGCTTTAAAGAATTCTCTTTCTCATCTCAGTTGACAAAGAAATGTTGCATAAAATATATTCCACTAAACCTTTTTGTATTCACAGTTTCTCCTCTCTGTTATTTGCCATTCTCTCTAGAAGAACCAGAACTTTCCCCAGGCGTTTACAGCCAGTGAACATGAAGAAGAAGAAGAAGAAGAAGAAGAAACAGAAGAAGAAGAAGAGGCAGAAGAAGAAGAAGAATATAAAGAAGAAGAAAAAGAAGTTCCCTTGTCTCTTGTCTTTATTCTCAATCTCTCTTCTACAAGAAGAAGAAGAAGTAGTAGTTCACTTGTCTCTTGCCTTGTACTCTCAATCTCTCCAGAACTTCTGGTTATTTTTCTTTAAACATATTTATTTCCATAAATCACAACATATCGTTATGTATATTTGTATCTCCAGTACCTCAATACAACTTAAAAAATACCTGTTCATTATCCAGATTTTTTCACCTTATATGGTGATACATGCTGCAGGAGATCATGGATTATGGAGAGGCATGATCTCCCATGCCATTCGGCAAGGCACCTGATGATGACGATGATCATGGTAAAATCACATTAACACAAATTTCAAGAGATCGAAAAGTCAATAGTTAATGTTAAAACAAAAATGTATGCTAACGGGGGACCAATATTAATACATTCCTGTTGGAACCAAAACCTTTGTTCATGTTAACAAGGTTTTACTGTAGTAATGCTGAGCATTTTGGAATATCTGACAATTCACATTTTAAATAATTCGTCTTAATCTGTACATGTACTACCCTGGTCTCTGGGTAGTCAGATTGGACACCAGTGTGTATTGTTGAGCACGTAAGATAAATCCCTTAGCAGTTGGAAATCAAAAAAGAGTAGCCTAATGGCGCTGCCTGGGGACAATTTGGAGTTAAAAATCTACCCTAAGTATTTCAGGATCCTCGCCAGTGCTACGGAATTCATGCACTGCGCTAAGATTCTTCGGACTCAGGCTTGAGTCAGAAGTAGAACGGAGCACTTATGAGTTACTACCCTTGTGCCATGATGTTGATTGATCATCTAAACCTCAACATGTTCACTTTTTGCTAACTTGTGTTCTTGCTTAATTTTAATTCACAAATTCAGCTTTTCAACAAAAATCTATGATCCGGTATCTAACGCACTAATCAGATCACACAACCACAAAATCCAATTTTCACTACATCTGAAAAATACTTTTACTTTCTTTCATGCACTCCATGTCATTAACTTCTCACTTTTAGATATTGTCTGACATTTATTATTTTCATATTTACATTTTCAGTCTACAATTTTAACACTCCAAGTATAAACTCACAACTACCAGATTAAAAAACATTGTGGCAGAATTGATTTACTATCATTCCCCATGTGGGTTTGGGACTCCATTTTTGTGGGGTTGGGTGGGGGACGTGAAAGGGAGGAGGAGTATGTGGATGGAATACACCAACTGTCCCTAACAACCATATTTTAAAGGGTGACTTATTCAGGTGTCACTGAAATCAGATGTGTTGGATTGAGAGGTGCAGATATCACAGCCTATCTGTTTACCACAAAACACTGTACCAGTTGCTCTTTTAAGGAAGCATGCAGAAGGAGAAATTTACTATCATTCTATAGCCAGAAGTTTGTCTAAAATTTAAGTAAGCAACAAATCTTGTTCCATTTGAGGCATGTGGTGACAGCTGCCTCATATTGAGGCATATGGTGACAGCTGCCTCATTTTAGACCAGCTAATCAAAGAACTGACATCATAGCAATTGGGACAATCCTAAAAGCACCCTTTCCCTATCTTCAGCATTTAGCACAGTCTCATTTGTGAAGCTTCTGGTAGCAGTTGATTTATACATCTGTATAGTTTTCACCAGCTGCCCTGAACAGTTCCCGCTGCACAATTCACCCAGACTGTGATGATCCAATCTATACCTGCTTCCTCAATGATGACTTATTTTTAAACCAACCAGCAATTAATGGGTGATGTAGTCTTTACTTCCCAGGGAATTTCCTGTACCTATTTGAAGCTGGTTTAACATACAATATTTCAAGTTAATATGGAGGATAGGCAGGTTTACTGTATTTAGTGGTGACAACTTTTTGCTTGTGACAATAGTTAACCATTGCATTTTCCTCCATTTATAGACTGAAAGGGTATAGTTTCGTCGCCCAGCTGCTGAAATAGAATCATCAGTCACACTATGGAGAGATTGGCTTGTCTGACGACGGGACAGAGCTGGCTATATTTTCATTTTTCACCCTCCTAGGAGAGCTCGCTGTCCCCAGCACTGTTGACTGCAGTGCCAGGCATGACCACGCCTTGCTTGGATGCACAGTACTTTAATGTTATACAACAACATCTTGTCGCCTTCAAGATTTCGTAGGAGATTCCTAGGGAGCCCTAGGGGTTTCTCAGGACAGTTCCATATTTGGGGGGGGGGGGGGGTAGGACTAGCGTTAAATTAATAGCGATTACTACTAAGCCTAACCCTAACTCCCCTATACTATGGGACACTCTGGGGATTTCCCTACTAAATCCCACAACATGTGGTCATATAAAATTAAAGAACTGGATGCACTACCCCTTAGTTTGATTTCTTTCTCCAACAGTGGTAAGACTATTACTGTCTGCAGTGACAGTCACAGTAAAGCCATCACAGTAAACCATCACAGTAGAACCGTCACAGTAGAACCATCACAGTAGAACCGTCACAGTAGAACCGTCACAGTAGAACCATCACAGTAGAACCATCACAGTAGAACCATCACAGTAGAACCATCACAGTAGAACCATCACAGTAGAACCATCACAGTAGAACCATCACAGCTTGTAGTTTGCTGTACAGGTTTTTTTTAAACCCTCTCTGGGGTGCTATTTAAAAGCTTGACCACCCTGAGATGACAAAATTTCAGTTTGAATGGCAAGCCAGTGAGGTAAATCATGGTAGTCCAGTGACAAGACAATTGTCTGCCAAGCTGGATTTCTTTGAGTCTGAATCTCTCTCATGGGGAGTTTTATAACTAACCTAGTGCTTCCAGGTTGACCCTGCCTCAACTGCGTACAGTAAATGTCCTTAAGGGGAGGACATGAGGAGACAGAGCTTCATGCAATGGCGAAGGATAGAACGATTTGGCATGAGTTGGTTGAGGGCCTATGCTCCATTGGGGGATAGAAAGGCAGAAGAAGAAGAAGAAATGCAAAGCAAAGGTGGCTGGCGGGATGTTGACTTCAATTACCCATCAATCTGTACAAATATTGGACAAGCCCCTTATGCTCAATGTGCCAAAAACATGAAAAGAGCCAATTTTGAGGCTTGAAGTTAAAACCTTAAAATTGTGATAGAAACTGCACATGTCATGCTATTGCATGTCTTCCCCTAATGAAGCATAGGTCCTCAACCAGTTCATGCCAAGTCGTTCAATCCTTTGCTATTTCATGCAGCTCACCTCATCCTCACCATATGTCCTCATCTTTTCAACTTCACTATATAGCAACATCCGACAGCAGATGTTGTGTCATTTCTAACAGCAGAGGATTGACTATCTGTGGTAGCATAGAATTCTAGACAGCAGACAGAAGACAGGAGGACAGATGTTCATTGTTCAAACCTGATAAAACTATACCAGGAATTTTGTTTGTGACATCTGTGAGCTGTTTTCATCTGTGTGCAAGGCCGAATAAGTATTGAGTACTTATAATAGACAGCGAGCGACAACAGTACACCCTCAATTCTGCTCAGGCACAAGTTCATGAAAAATCTGAAGTTTATTAGTAATTTTTTAATTTTTACTGTTATCTTAACCTGTCAATATTGTTGTTAAGGATGTCAAGAGTGTCAGGCATATGACATTACAGTACCGACGCACACAGTGACTTCATAATGACATATGCCCTCCACCCATCTCTGACATGCTCTGAATAAAATTCAGTGGAAGCATAATGTATCTGAAAGTCCAACACATTAACTCTAATGTACATAATTAAATGCAACAAACTTTCCTCAAAAGAGGAATGAGAAAGCTGAAGCAGATCAATAATTGGCACTATATACACGAGCAGAATGAGTTAAAGAATAGATCAACCCCTCTTCATCCAAAACACATTATCTGGCCAATTGCTGGATGCAGAAACATCAATTTCTCGGTCTATGTCTATTCCCCACGTGGGCACCATGTGATGTTTCAGCAAAAAATTCTTGATAAATCTGCTGTCCTTTTCATTATGTCGATAATACATCCATTCAATGAGTAGCACCTGCAAGATACCAAAAAAGAACCTTGGAATAAAACTGGGTATTGTAAACAATTTTATATTAACTCTTTTACCCTGGGTGTGCTAAAAATAATTAAAGGTTATACAACATCATGGCACAAGGGTAGTAACCCATAAATGCTCCATTCTACTTCTAACTCATGCCTGAGTCTGAAGAATCTCAGTGCAATGCACAAACTTTGCAGCACCGGCGAGGATCCTGAAATACTATGGGTAGAATTTAAACTCCAAATTATGGTTGGGTAGCGCCGCTAGGCTACTCTCCTTGATTTCCAACTGCCAAGGGATTTTTTTTACATGCGCAACAATGCACACGGGCGTCCGATCTCACTACCCAGAAACCAGGGGAAATTACTAGAAGTCCACATGAAAAAAATCCCAGCCTTTACAGGGGCCTGAACCTGGGATCTCCAGCACTCAAGGTGGATACCATGCCTAAAGACCACATAGCACTATGTGTGCTAAAAATAATAGGCCATAAATGTGCGGGAATGTCCTAAGTAAGTTCATTTACAATTTTTTTAATATACAAAGATTTATTCAGAGTGTAATCAATAAACACAAAAAGAGTGAAGCATTAAATGAAATACATTCTCTGAGAGCTTAAAATATATATATATAGCCAGTCACTCATGTCATGGCCTCTGACCTCTATCAATGAGGCTACTGGATAATTTATCTTGCAAGCATGCCACTGTAGAAATGATTTCTCTGAGAAATTGACCCTTCCTGAAGTGCTGGGTTTGCAGCTTCTGAAAGGAAAGTGTTAAGAGATCTGTTGCACATGTCTCCATTTTTCCAAGCCGAACAAAGAACAGGGTGTGAAAGATCGGAACTGTAATCACCCAGTTAGCAAGAGAGCTTGCCATCAGCTCTTTCAGTACCGGGCAGTTGTTATTCCTCCCCTCCCAAAAAAATGAGTTTGTAAGCAATAAACACTCTAGTCTGGATGAGGTAAATCAGTGGTCTCCATCCTCTTTCAGGTTGTGCCCCCCCCCCCCCAAATCCCTTTGAGTGAATATACCAAGACTCCCATACCCCCTAGAGCAGGGCTTTTCAACTTGCAGTAATGGGCCCAAAACTGGCTGCCAAGGCCTAGCAGGCAGGTGGCCCGCGGATTACTACCAGTTGCACTGAATTAATGATCTTCCTATGGAGAAGCTCAGGCTTCTGGCCCTTGACACTCCTCGCTTTTAAAAGTATGACCCTATAGTAAACATAGTTGAATATTCCTGCCCTAGAGCATACTGCAAGACTCCCAGGCCCCCCCCCCCCCTCCCCTCGAGTATACGACAATCCCCCCGTCCCCCCTGAGTATACTGCCAGACCCCCACGCTTTCTTCCCCCATGAGTATATTGCAAGACCTACACACCCCCCTCCCCTTAGAGTACATTACCCCCCCCCCCCTCTTTCCCCCAAGAAGCGTGTTGTAAAAGACAACTTATTAGGATGTTTCCTTCAAAATTAGAGTGCCTCTGCTTGAAAAGTGAAGAACCAACAATCTGCATACAAATGAGCCAGATCTGTAAAATAATTGTGCTTGCATGCAAACTCAAGTTCTAGTACAAATATAGACGAACAACCAAAACTTTCTGCTGGAGCTAACACCAAGTGAATACTGAAAAGAAGAAGAAGAAGAAGAAAAAGAATACAGTTAAACCTTGAAATTCAAACACCTCAAAACTCTTAAAAACTTGAAATCCAAATGAGTAAATTTTGCCTCAGAAATTACAAAATAAATTTCTTTTCAGGAGGAAGCTGGAACGATTAGCACCACTGAAATACAAGATCTTTTGAGCATGTGGTTAAAAACGCAAGAAGTTGTTGAGAGAATGCACCTTGAGAGAGCCCCAAATAACAGATGTGATTCAATAATAATATTATCAATTATTTTGGAAAAATTACAAATGGTCACCAACAACAGAGCACTTTGGAATGCTGGCTGTCACAAATACTTTTTTTAAACTGGAGTTTGTCGGACCCTGGAACAGATTAACTTAGTTTTCATAATTTTAAGTGAGAAAAAAAAATTGCCTTAGAATTTGAACAATTTGGAATTTGAACGCTGTCTCGTAACGGATTATGTTTGAATTCCGAGGTGCTAATGTAGCTGGCTAACTTAGTTCATAATGGAACATAAATGGCTCTGTTAAATAATAACAATGGTATCCAACAATCACAGATTACAACATTCTCACCTTCACATTGACATATTTGAAGAATTGGTCAGCACACTCCAGCAAAGCTCTTTCGTTGTTTTCCAGGTCAACTTTAAGAAAAACTGTCTTTCCTTTAACCAGAGGCATCAAGTCATCCAGGCAGACAGCATCCACCAGCTGGCTGTCATTTTGGATGCACAAAATGTAAATATGAATGACCAAAATATGTTATTCACTGAATATTTAAAAAAAAAAAAAATTTTTGTTACGTATCCTTTACAAGATGTTGCAGAACCAGCACCCGGCATTTTTGGCTGTTGTGGTTTTTCTAGGTAAATTTACACTCAGGTGTACCTATCCATAACCTGATTTGGGAATAGAATGCGGTGAGGTGCTATTTCTTGCAAGGTGTCATTTGAATACCACTGTCCCAGAGCCGTGAGATCAATTTCTTGCAAAGTTTGTTTTGGAATAACACTGTCCCAGTGCCATGAAATCAATTTCTTGCACTGTGTGATTGGAATACCACTGTTCCAGTGTCACGAAATCAATTTCTTGCACAGTGTCATTTGAAAATCACTGTCCCAGTGCCATGAGAACAATTTCTTGCACAGTGTCATTTGAATACCACTGTTCCAGTGCCATGAGAACAATTTCTTGCACAGTGTCATTTGAATACCACTGTCCCAGTGCCATGAGAACAATTTCTTGCACAGTTTCATTTGAATACCACTGTCTCAGTTCCATGAGAACAATGTTCTCACCTTCACATCGACATATTTGACCCAGCCTCCAGGAAATTGGTACCAGAGTTGACACTCTAGGGTAAATGGAGGGACGTCGCTGTAGCCACAGAGTTACGTGCGGACGGCGACACAGGCGGACAATTCTTATCAGCTGTCCGTACTGGTGGCAGAGCACTTATGGTTTATAACCGTGTTCAATGACGCTGGGTCACATCTCCCGACTTTACCTTTATATTTGAAGAATTGGTCAGCACACTCCAGCAAAGCTCTTTCATTGTTTTCCAGGTCAACTTTAAGGAAAACTGTCTTCCCTTTAAACAGAGGCACCAAGTCATCCAGGCATACAGCATCCACCAGTGTCTTCCCAGAACAGCTAGTCATCTTATGAGAGTGTCACATAAAGCATGAACCACATAGCTCCAGTGACAATACCTATATATAACTATAAAGCAGCCCTCATGAACTTAACAATCTGGCTCATAAAATGAACCCAATACCTACAAAGTGTGAGGTAAAGGGTTTAGCCACCGTAAACCCCAAAAAGGTTTAGCGCAAGGCTTTTCAATCAAGATTACCTCAGGGATCCTTCTCCACTCCCAGGTTGTGGACTTATTACTGCAGTATTCACTCACTATCTTGTTGTGCCATAACATGTCATATAGGGCTTGCAGTCTATTCCTCCATTTCGTTCCATCCTCTGCAACCAGTTCAATATCATGGATAGAATCTATTCCCGCAGCTTTAGCCTCTCTCCTCAATCTTCATCTTAGGGTTTCTTTCGAGCGTATTTACCTCCTTAATCCCTTTATTTTAATGCCTGTTTGGTGATTCTCTGCTGGTTTCCTCTCAGGATGTGTCCAATATAGCGCCATCTTCTCTGTCTTATAACTGTTGATACTATTGGTTGCCCAGATATTTCTCTTATTTCTTCACTCCTTTTGAATTGATCCCATTTTATGCTCATCACTTTCCTCAGACATTTGTATTACTGCAGTACAGCCAACAGAAATTGTGATACGTATCTTGAGATAACATGTAATCTTATCTTACACCAGATCTTATCAAAATATGTCTGTTTTGTTATGTTCCACTGAAGGTGAATAAAAACTTCTCTATATAGGTTGATAAGATATTGACTAATAACTTGTGTTTAAAAAAAAGATTTATAGTTAACACAAATTTAAAGCAATCTGACACATACATGATGCACAGATGCGGAAACAATTGTCGCGCTGTACGGAGACAGGCGCTCAAACTGGTCGAGTCTATCTACTACTAGAAAACCTCGCGCTATTAAGTGGGACACCATTATTTTTTAATTTTAAAGCCCCACCCTGGCTGTAGTCGGGGGCCCTAATATAACATAATGGTTGAACAGGGTTCCAGGGACTTGCACCTGGGTGATTCTCATCCGGATAGTGGCACTTTGTGTCACAGGGTGCTTGTCGCTTGTTGTGCGGTCCTGGTTGGGTTGAATGTCACCTTTCTACAACTCTCTGAAGTCAAACTGGAAACAGGTTCCAAACCGGAAGCCTTTTCAACGTACATAAGATAGATAATTTCTTTAATGTAATAGTGCATCTGCCTGAGATATGAGAAACCAACACTCTGCATACAAAAAAGCCACATCTGTATAACAGGTGTGCATGCAACACTTAAGTCACGGAACAAAAGGCTGATGAACAACCATGACTTTTTAGCAGAGTTAACAGACGGTGGAAGTGAAAAAGAAGAAGAACTAGAAGAAGAAGACAAACAAGTATTTTAAACAGTTAGGTAAGCAATTTTAACAGACATTTACATAATCTTAAGACAGTTACATCATTTTAACAGACACTTACATAATTATAATGGACATTTACATAATTTTGACACACTTCAGTAATTTTAATAACAAATGCCTGACCTTGGATGAATTTTATGTCGACGGAATTCAAGTATCTCAACCACCTTTGATGCTCCAACATTGCTTGGGTCAAGCGCTACCCTCATCTGCATCTGCTTTCGGTACAGAGCATTATGGATAAGTGTCACATGACAGGAGAGCCCGTTGATAAAGAGGGACCTCTGAAGCAACTGCAAGCTACTGAGCATGGAATCCACCGCAACAACCTGCAGAATGGAAATAAGCATAATATACATTTCCATTTATTGTCCCGTTGTGCGATTTTATAGCACATAGGGCTCACAGTCTATTCCTCCCTTCCATTCTATCCTGTGCAGTCAGTTGAATAGCATGAATGGAATCCAGTCCAGCAGCTTTGGTCTCTCTCACCAGCGTTCATTTGCGGGTTTCTTGTGAGCATCTTTGCCGCCTTAATCCCTTTACTTCCCACTTGAGAGCCTGTTTGCTGATTCTCCGCTAGTCTCTTCTCAGGCTGTGTGGTTCTCCAATTTTAACTGGCATATGTTAAAATTGAACTAATATTAGAATTGAAAATACATAGCCTGGTTTAAAAACTATACAATATAGACACTATCTTCAGAAGACAGAAAGAAAATAGTGACAACAGAAATGAAATGTTTTAAAAACTATACAGTATAGACACTATCTTCAAAAGACAGAAAGAAAATAGTGACAACAGAAATTAAAAGTTTTAAAAACTATACAGTATAGACACTATCTTCAGAAGACAGAAAGAAAATAGTGACAACAGAAATGAAATGTTTTACGTACTATGCTAGGTGTAACGAGGAAAGATCGACTTAGGAACAATGTTATCAGGAGGAGAGTTGGCACAGAACCAATACTGAACTTTATAGCTAGACTGCAGGTCAAATAGTTTGGCCATCTAACAAGACTGGCATCAGACAGGGCACCAAAGACAGCAATGTTATGCAGATAAAGCGGTAACACAGCCAGAGGTCGACCACGAAAAATATGTACCACACATATATCAGAGACGCTCAAAAATACTATATACAAAACAGACAGAAGGACTCGTTCCAGAGATCTCTTATTACCCTGATGCTGTGAGGCATTCCAGGAGTAGAGAAAAGAAGAAAGAAGAAGAAGTATAGAGTTCCATATTTGTTCAGGCTAATAAGAGCTGTTGATGTCTTGAAAACATAACCTAAATATTTTCTCACAAATTTCTTGTTTAAATTTGTGGGTGCATTTTGCTCAAGGGAGCAACTCTAAACTCTAAATTGCATAGTTTTAAAACCAAGTCATGTATGTATATACACTGAAAAATACGATAAGAACCTTTTCAGGACTTTTTTTTTGCCTAAAATTTCAAAGTTTGCAACATTTTCAATTTCTTCATCAGTTATTTTTGGGAGATATGCAGTTTTGACTGTGGACATTATATTTATCCTCTGCCACCTGCTAACAAAGTCCAACATGTGTCCGGTATACCAATCGTAAGCTTGTCACTTGGTCGTCCAGGTATGCAGACTGCTCTTATTATGCTACCGCGACGACTTCTTTTCTCACAGTACCTTCTGCAAATCACCAAGTTGTCTTGTCCCTATCCGAACACCATCCAGTAATTTCGTGCAGCAGGGAAACCAACCCTGAGCTTCATGAACTCAAGTGGGCCCACTCTCTGAAAACGTCTAGGAGCTCGTGGGCCGAAACGTTTGTCGACGAGAGATTACTTCTACTGACGATTGGTAGATCCCTGCTGTACATGCTCCCCTGTGGAGTTTATTCCTATTGTTTTCTTTAAATTCAAGAACAGGTTTTGATCTTCACTGTGTTTTTGTACAGACATAATTAAACGTATATTCCCTTTACACTTTTGAAAAGGTGGACTGTGTCATCTGCACAACGAAGTTCTAGAGTAGGGTGTGTATGTGGGTATATACATGTGGATGTGTGTATAAATATATATATATATACACACACATATGAAATTTGTCACAAACAATGCAGGTGGTGACTGCCTGAAATGTTACACCTGGTGTTTCTTTAAAAACGTGCCTTCCCAGCGATTAACATGTAGCAGGCCAGAGAATCTGTCAAATGTTCTATTAAATGACAAATGGCATTGAGATAATGTAAATCTCCTCACTTCTCCAAGGTTCATGGTCTCAACTATGATGAAGCCTGCTGTTAACTACACATCCTGTATGCTGAAAGAGAGTGTGGACAGAAGAAGAGTATAGGTCTAAATAAATGAAATGACAAAAAGGCTAAAGAAACATTTAAGAGAAGGCAATAAACTATGAATAATTTAAACAAGTAGCATTTACAGAAGTCTTGTAGACAAGGGGTAGAAAAAAAAAAAATTTCACTGGTTTTACATACCTCCATTCCCATTTTGGCTGCAGGAAGTGTGAACACACCTATATTGCAACCCAGATCCACCAAGACCAATCCTGGAAACCTCTTGTGCATCTCGTACATGGCTTCAACATTCTCTGGTTCCCAACCTCCTTTATTCTGAACATTTCAATGAACAATTGTTTAAGCACAGTTGTTAATTTTTTTTTTACTTGCCAAATTAGTATACATCAAAACTGGATGTAGGCACAAGCTAACTAAGATTAGGGGTTCACAACCTGTTGGGCTTAAAAAAAATTCCTTTTATTTTCCAAGTTTTCTCATTTTCTTCTTCTTCGAGTATGATACTAGTAAGAGTTGTGGTGTTTTTAACTAACCTCATTAGTGGGAAAGGGCTCTGATAGCTTCTCTTCAGTTAAGATTTTGTAGAGGTCCCAGTCTGCTTTCTTGTAGTTCCAGCTGGATATCTTCTTCCTGTTTTCTGGTGGCTTCACCTCTCCTAGCATGAGGACGACTGGTTTGTGATCACTTCCTCAAAGCTGTTTCATCACTTTTTTGTCTGCCCTTTATTGAATGTTTTCTGTAGCTATAGCTAGGTCTGGTGTACTTTGTGTTTGCCATCATCTTCTTTGAGCCTTCTGTCAGAAAACCTATATCAGGAGGCCGGTAGCCTTTATGAAAGCTATCATGCAGTCCATATCTTTTCGTGTACCATACAGTTTTGTCTTCAGTGTGGTTGGAACAGGCCAGATTGTGTCTCTGTTGTCAGCATACAGTTGACGGTATTGGAGCACATGCTCAGTATTTTCTGGTGCCAAGTTGCAGGGACACGTACTCATGTTTCCTACACCTAAAAGTTTGAACATATGTTGACGAAGTCTGTTGTGCCCTGTCCTTAATCTGAATATAATGCACTGTGCAATGAAGCCAATCTTGAGAATAAAATTTAGTGTGTGTATCCAGCCACCTTTCAAGGATACTAGACAGTATTTTATAGTAATATATTCATTAAAAAAAAATACCCAAGAAATTTTCTAATTACCAGGTGCAGTCCTGGGAAGTAAAGCCAGCCAGCATGATGTTCACCACATCACCCATCAAGTGCCAACTGGTCTACAAAATAGAGGTCCAGCCCCATATGCCCAGTGGTCTTCAAGGTGCGGAAAAGGGTCCTTTACTTTTTTTTAAACTTTTATGGGGAAGCATGGGACTCGCAGCTTGTGGTGACAGCAAATATAACTAGCAAGACCTTTTAGTATTAAGAACAGTGTTCCACAGTTAAAGCGTTGGACTTAGAGCATGGGACTCCAGGACCATCACTGCCATTAAACTATTTAACAGGCTTTTTCTCAAATGCTACTGCTACCTTCTGCTAGCTTGAGAATCAGCTGCACACACACACCGTAATTATAACTGACTCACAGAGCATGTTGATAAACGTGGAGACAGGCATGCTGTCTGCAGGGTGGCAAACATCACTTCAGAGGTCCCGTGCATTTAGCATCCTTTGGATATTTTCTCCAGGTCAAACTGGTGTTTTGGGAAATGAGCAGGCAGATATACTGGCTAGCTCTGCACCACTTGGTTGTGAATTGATGTATGACGAGCTAGATGTTGTGAGGGCTCTTTGGGAGCGAGTGAACAGTGTGGAGGTGCAGACAGATCATTACAGCGTTAGGAGAATGGCGCTGCGAGGAGGTACCAGGGGATCTGGCAGATACTCAACACTCAGGGGAAGGGAAAAACGGATTTACAATTAAACAGTTACTGGTGCCATCAAAACTGGAACTCTTTGCTTGCTGCTGAAGATGGGGAGGGAGCCTTTATGGGAGTGCCCCGAGTGCTTTGGTGTTGATTCTTAATTAAACATTCATTCTCAAATGCTTAACTCCTAACCAATCTTGAATAAATGTTACCTTTATCCCTTCCTGCTTCCCCCCCCCCCCCCCCATCTCCAGGCAACACAGTCCATTGCATCCTCAGTTAGTATTCATCTTTGTTGAGTTGAGTCGAGAACTGACATCACAACACTCGGGGCATTCCCATATGTGCTCCATCCCCATCTTCAGCAGCCAGTGTTCCAATACAAATGGTACTGATCGTAGTCTAGTTATTTGTCTGTCTGAGTGTAGCGAACCATACACATCTTTGTGTTTATGAACAAAAAGGTGGAAACAGCTATCCACTATAGCTGAAAGCCCATGGAAACTATGCTGGCAAATATCACAATTTGATAAAACACATGTGATTTTTTTTCCTACTTGTCAAATTAATTTTACTAATAACTTCCTCCTTGTGATTGGTTTCATAAGCTCAGGTTATCAGTTGTTTTGCCTCCATGAATTTGCACGTCAGCAGAAGGTCTCAAAGGGTTTCTCAAAGTCTTTCCTGGATGCCTCTTCCCCTATACCATTTTTTAAGGAGGCGGTTCTGCAGTACATGTACAGGGGTTTGGAATGCTGTTTGGCCGGGACACTGGGTGGATTGTGTAACCTTCAGTCTGGGCATGTTTTCACTCTGTGCGATGTCCTGTTCTTAGACCAGAAAAAATGTGGTGTACTGCCTTCTGTTGATGTCTGCTCATTTGGCATTCAGGATGTTTGCTATGTTGCCCCTCCAGGCTGCTTCCTGAAGGTTTGATACTAATGTGATTTGAGAAGCCAAATCCTGGATGTCTTTCAAAGAGGACAAATCACACACATGTCAACTTCCTAGAAAGTTACAATGGACACCTGTAATAACTAAAAATGATACGCCGATGCAACCTGCTGTCCTCAGTGAGTAGGCATCTGGATTTGTTCAGTGAATTTGTGGTATTTGAACAAAATAAATGATCAGTTTGGATGCAAGAATTACTTTACCCTTTACGTAAGTTAGATAATCATTATTTTACACTAAACTGTTGTATATGTAAATAGATGTAAAGAAAACCTGAAGACATAGCTATGTACTTGTTATCTAATATAAAAACATCACCTATAAAGAAACAATAATAAGAACTTTGTCTTGGGCAGCAGAAGAAAATGTACAAAAATCATGGAAACCATGTTTAGCTGCATAAAACAGATATTGGTTATAAAAAACAAATCCAGAGAAATAGAATGTTATTGCAGTGCTTTGATTATCTAAACAATGCGAAAGTCACAAATATTCAAGTGTTGAACATGTAAGCTGCAGCATATGTTACATTAGCTGGAAGTAGCCATTTTGTTGTGTAGGATTGAACAAATAACCTGCTATCTACATTTGTTTCTGTGTTTGGTTTGCTGTCAGTTGGGTTGTGAAACAAATAACCCATTTTTTGGTGGGCCGTGAAACAAATAACCCATTTTTTGCTGGGCTGTGAAACAAATAACCCCTTTTTTGCTGGGCCATGAAACAAATAACCCCTTTTTTGGTGGGCCATGAAACAAATAACCCCTTTTTTGGTGGACCGTGAAACAAATAACCCCTTTTTGGTGGGCCGTGAAACAAATAACCCCTTTTTTGGTGGGCCGTGAAACAAATAACCTCTTTTTTGGTGGGCCGTGAAACAAATAACCCCTTTTTTTGTGGGCCGTGAAACAAATAACCCCTTTTTTGCTGGGCTGTGAAACAAATAACTACTTTTTTGGTGGGCCGTGAAACAAATAACTACTTTTTTGGTGGGCCGTGAAACAAATAACTACTTTTTTGGTGGGCCGTGAAACAAATAACTACTTTTTTGGTGGGCCGTGAAACAAATAACCCCTTTTTTGGTGGGCCGCAAGTGTAAACTGGTTGAGAAACACACTGCTGTAAAGCACACACAACTACCATTTTTGTTTTCTTTCCTCACAATGACTTATTGTATTTACATTGCATATAATGTCCGACATGATCAAAACAGAGCCGAACTTTTTTTCAAAAAATGACCTTGACTCCCAAGTCGACCCAGCCTTGAGTGGGTACCATGTGCAGTCCTGGGAGGTAGGCGGCAGCTGGCGTGATGCTGACCACATCACCCATCTTGTGCCGATTGGTCTATAAAAATACAGGTTTAGCCCTACACGCCAAAAGGCGTGGAAAAGAGACCTTTACTTATTACTTTTACTTATGATCAAAACAAGTACCAAAGTTGAACTTTACCTTTAAATGAGCTGACACCATCAGATCTTTTTTTGCGTCGTGAATGCAGGTCAAAAGTGTTCCCAGGTCACCGGGCGCTTTGACATCCACACACTCGCTCAGGTATGGATTGAATAAATCCTCCTCCTCCTTTTCCAAATTCTCAAACCAGCTACGTTTTTCTGGCACAGACGGTATCACATGGATGCCACTTCTATTGAGACTCTGAGATTTTAAATTCACATCTGACATGCACAAAGCTCTGGGTCTTATTCCGTGCATTTGCCATGATAGTAATATTGTAACAATAACAACAATAAGCACCAGAAACAAAAAAGTGGATTCGGCTCTTTTAGACACGTACAAGCCATAAGAGTTCAACATTCTTCTAATTTTCATTAAATTCATAATAAATGTATGGTTAATTTGTATTGTTAGTGTTAAGTTCCCTATTAAAAAAATTGCTGTTTTTGTTAATATTGTACCTATTGTATTGCCTTAAGTGACAATGATCATAACTATGGTTATTTTGGACTGATTTTGTTGTTAAGCAGAAAGTAAAGTTTGCATTTTGGAGCCAAATGTGAGGAAAATGAATGTAGTCAACAGGCACAATGCAAGTGTGCCCTCAGATGATTGAAGTCCTTGTTATTGTGACTGCATTAGTGTAGTTCTGTGTTGGATTTCAGTTAGGCTATACACAAACTTAAATCATTTTCATTATCCTCAATTAGTAATAAATTATGCCTAATTATTTAGCTTAAAGCAAGTGAACTATTTGAAATATCATAACAGTTCTGTAATTATCTCCATCAGATCCATAGAACAGATGATTGGTCAAAGACGGAACAGGCTGCTGTATCATAGGTGAACCTGTCAAGAACAACAACAAGAACAACATTATATATTATTTATGTCCAAATTCTGCTTCTAAAACCCCCCTCCGCAAAATTAAAGGACTCCCTAAACGCTAGTGACAAATTTGGTATATGATAAAAAGTTTAAAAAAAAAAAAAAAAGTAAAAGTAAAGGACCCTTTTCCACGCTTTGAGGTGAATAAGGCATATTGGGCTAGACCTATATTTTATAGACCCATCGGCACAAGATGAGCGACGTGGTCTGCATCACGCCGGCCGCCTTAACTTCCAGGGACTGCACCCGGTACCCACTCAAGGCTGGATCAACCTGGGAGCAAAAGTCATTTCTGAAAAAAATCCTGCTCTGCCAGGGAGCGAACCCATGACCTTCCGATCCGCGACAAGCGTCTAGCCGATCCGCAATGGCGACTTCCTTAGTTTATGATACCAGAATAATATTTTAATAGACCATTGTTTTTTTTTGTTGTTTTTTTAATTTTGTTTTTTTCCCCTCCAGGATTGCAGTCTGTAGGACTAACATCCTAAGGATGAGAATCTTCTTCTTCTTCACGTTCACTGGCTGTACACTTTGCCAGAAAGTTCTGGTTGTTTGTCCACTTCTTGACTGCAGACCTGTTCCAGAACCTGAGCGTTGCGTGTGCATCCGTTTGACGGATCTAATTAATTTGTATGCAGACTTTTGGTTCCTTGCCTCTCAGGCAGATGCACTCCTACTTTGAAGGAAGCTCCCAATTAGTCGACTCTTACGACATGCTTTTGCGTAGGCAGTGGGTCTATTTTTGTTTTTCCTATAACTCACACAGGGACAAGGACAAAAATAAAACAGGTATAAATTCCCGAAACCCTATTAAACCATATATAGGTTGCGGCGACGAAGAGGCAAAGGTTAGAATAGAATAAAAAGAATCAATGTCACACATTAAGTGCTTGGTTGCAAAAGTCGGCTCTCCTTGCAATAACGGTCGCTAGTTGGACGGCGGCGGCTGCTTAGTCAGAGTTCAGTCCCCTGGCTGCAGTGCAATTACAGAGTGGAAAAGAGGGAACGACACAAATGACATAATTAGGGCTAGGGGTAGGTTTAGGGGTAGGGTTAGGGTTTGGGTTAGGGTTAGGCTAATGTGAGTCGCAGCGCATGGTCTAGACGCCATGTTGAACTCACTGTGTTTTGTGATTCGTGCCTTGTCCACCCCGTAATTGCACTGCAGCCAGGGGACTGAACTCCGACTAAGCGGCCGTCACCGTGCAAGTAGCGACCGTTATTGCAAGGAGAACCTAAAAGTCAATACATTATCCAATTCTTTTCTATTTCTACAGTAATCTGGTATTTAGTTCTGCAGAAAAATGCTAAAAATTAATTTGGCAGATAAAATATGTAATCTACATGATCCCAGTTAAGCTTTATTAATCACACAAACACAATTTATGACAACCATTAAAAAAAAACAGACCACAATTATTTCTCAGTCACAACAAGAATGGAGAAATACATTTAGAAATACAGTCTTTGTAAAAAAAAAAGGAACAATTCTTGAAAACCTGTGTTTTCCACATAATATGGGAAGATCACATAAAGTGATTTTTCCTGTTAGAAATTGCAGGATGTTGTGAAGCGAGATAGCCCACTTGATATTGATTACTATAATTTCATTTTAAACATAACAGTACTTGTGGGAAAGGCACTGACGAGCATATATTTGCTTTCTGTGTGAAATCTTTGCATGCCGGGCCTTTTATTCGTTATTGGGGGGCTTATCGCTGATTTTAATTCCAGTCAAATAATAATACTAATAATAATAATAATAAATAATAGCATACTAAAAAACAATTTAACAAATGAAATGTAATTACGATCTTTCTTTAAAAAAAGACCAAATAATTGGCTGTGCAATCAAGAATATCAGCCCTCTAGTAATAAAATTAAACAAACGCATAAATCTAAAGAATTAATTATACGGATAAATCATTCACTTTGCTTTAATTGTCGCAAGTTTACCTGAGAATTCGTCACGCTATGCTACTGTTTAGTCACTGGCCGAGTGTGTAGCGGTGTAACCTGTAACAACTCGGTGCGTCTCAGGTGGGTTTGTCCCTGCTAACTGTTCAGGTGTGTCGTTACAACTACCCGTATAACCCACTGTGTTCGATACACAAATGACACTTGGAGTTTTCTTTAACTAGGGCAGGAACTACTATCTTTAGTAGTAAAGAAAACGTAAAATTGAATGTGTTTGCCAATGCCAGCTTGCCGCAATTCATTGTTTGGAATAAAATAAATGGGAATTTATGTGACCCGAATATCAAAAGGTTTAGGTTTAAACGACGGATCAACATCCTGGCACAATTAACCCATAAGTGCTCCCTTCTACTTTTGACTCAAGCCGAGTCCGAAGAATCTCAACGAAGTGCACGAACTCCGTAGTACCAGCGAGGATCCTGAAATACTTTGGGTAGATTTTTAACTTCAAATTTTTGCCTGGCAGCTCTGTTAGGCTACTCTTTTTTCCACTTCCAACTGCCATGGAGTTTCTTTACGTGCGTAACAATACACACGGGCGTCTGATCTTACTACCCAGAGATCAGGGGAACTTACTAGCCCCTTCACCAGGGCTTGAACCCAGGACCTCCAGCACTCGAGGCGGACGCCATACATTGTAACCATGCAGCCCGCATCACCCCCCCCCCCCCCCCCCCCGCTTTCCGATACACTGACAAGATTAAAGTAACTTTTGTTCCCCCATGCTCCGCCTATATACACACTAGCTCACTTCTGATTGATAGTTCCCCAACCTGTCAGCTTGGCACAGGGTTACGGGGTGTTCCGCAATGCCGTTTATATCGCGTGTTGTATATTTAAGCACGCCAGCGCTTTGAACACTTCTAACATGGAGAAACTGCCCATAACACAACCCCCTTAGAGAGGGCTACAACCTATGTCACAGGCATTCGCATTATCGGAATGAAAACGTAAATGCAAGACAATGCAGAAAGCAAACAACAGAGCGTGACACACCCGTAACCTTCATGAAAGTCGACCAGCCCAACGAACTTGTGAATGAACAGTGACCTACTTTGTTTTGGGGAGATTAACGTGAACCGACAAATCAGTTGACACATATCTCAAATAAGGCGGGTGTGGGGGTGGGAGGGGGGTTGGAGCCTTAAGGCTTAGCATTTTGAGGGGCCCAGGTATAGGCGACCGGGTAGCCTACTGGCAGACATTGTGGCATGGAAGATCATCTGTGCCAGAACTGATTGAAAGTACAAGACAGAAGGTTGTGGATAGACGTGACTACTAACCCAACACCACACGGCATGGACTTTGATAATAAGAAGAAGTGAATTGATGTAAAGTAAAGTAAAGAAAGGCAAAGTAATCTGAAGTAAATTAAAGTAAAGTAAGGTAAAGTAAATTAAAGTGAAATAAAAAAAAAAATAAAGTAAAGTATTAAAAAGAAGAAGAGGTGATTTGATGTAAAATAGAGTAAGGCAAAGTAATTTAAAGTAAAGTAAAGTAAAGTAAAGTAGGGTAAAGTAAATTAAAGTAACGTTAAAAAAGTAAAGTAAAATAGGGTGAAGTCCTTTAAAGTGAAGTAAAATTAAGGAAAGTAAAGTAAAAGTGACGTAAAGTGAAGTAAAGTAAATTAAAGTAAAGTAAGGCAAGGTAAAATAACTTAAACGACTCTTTCACAACAGCAACCCCTCGGGCATGTAATGATAGGCTAATATTTTTTATAGACCATTATAGGCACTTGATGGATGGTGTAGTCAACACCACGACGGCCGCATTTACTTCCAAGGAATTTCATGACGTCCATTTTAGGCTTGGTCGATCTGGGAGTCACCCCCTCCCCCAACTAAATCCTGCCGGGTCTGAATTCTCTTAGAAGATAATTTGGGTTGCTGTGGCCACCCTACCACGGTCCACATGCGGAAAGGTACTGGACACTACCTTGTCCGTTGTTTAACTTCCCGCCTGATCAATATTTCCGCCCCACTCAAACATTCGGTCATTAAATATTAATACTTCAAACACATCGATTAAACTAGTTATGTCCCAAACTTTACATCGAGTGGGACTGAATGTTATTCTTGCTTAACATTAAACGTAGGGTTGTGGCTTTTTCCCAAACTTGTATTTGGTCAGGGACTCAAAACATCTCTGGCGATGCCTTCGTGTCCTCCATTATTGGCATCTTTCGGTCTTTCCTGACAATTCTGTGCCGTAGGGAATCTGCAACGTCCTGTAAAGGATACGCAACAACCTATATAGGGAATCATTGAGTCGCAACTCACGACAATATGATAACACAAAACCTAGGCTGTATTCCAAGAACAATGTGCTGCCCATGCCGCATGATCCATCCATCGGTCTGCCTTCTCCCAAGGAATATTGAATGTTGAAGTAAGAATCGACATCATAGCAGTCTGGACACTCCCATAAGCTCTCAGTCCCCATCTTCAGTAGCAAGGGAAGATTCCTATGACACCACTTAGTGTTTGATTGTCTATCCGCCTCGAATTTACCTTGAG